AACGTTAGCAGCTAAGACGCTAACGTAGCGTGTTTGCTGCTAAAGGTAGATAAACTGCATCGGCGCTTGTTGACACATACTTGCCTGAATACATGTCAGTTAGCCTGGTAAGCTTGTGGCGCCCCCCATGGATGTCGGCGCCCTTAGCATTGGCCTATACTGCCTATGCCTGGGGCCGGCTCTGCGCTGGCTGAACAACAGAACACAATGCAGCATCTTTAGGGCTTCAATCACCTCCTTGAACTGATGCTTGTTGTTTATTTCAGTTTCTTCCGTAAATCATTGCTGCAAACTTCAAACTCATCTCAAGGCTGCAGCGGTTCAGCTTTCAACAGCGAGAATAAAAAAAATTCATCTGTTGAACCCAAATTATGTGAAACGTCTGATATTAAGCTCCTGAAGACTCATGGGATGCGCTGAGGTTTGAGCTTCAGTTTGAGCTGTGAGGATCTTAATGGGACACAGTTGAATTATTTCAGATTTACTGGGGAAACAGTTTCAGGATGTTGCATTTGATTCTGTGGGATTTTTGAGATTTTTTCAGCAAAACGAGAACATTTGAAGGCTTTTATCTTGCAGCTTTTAAATAACACATAATAAACACACAGCCGGACAGAAGCTGTTACAAACGCTGCAGTGACGATAATCGCTGCTCATTGAAATACTTTAATAAACCAACAGAGTTAACAACTAAACCAGATGTTATTTGATCTTCTCGTCCAGTTTTGTAGATTCTGAATCAAACACGTGACGAGAAATAACAGAAAATTTCAGGTTTTTCTCTTTGATAGTTCCTGAGAACAAACCAGATTTCCAACCTGCTGGAATCTCGTCAACGGGCAAATTTTTAATAAAAGCTCATGTTGGAATATATTTGATATATCAAGATAAAAATGACACACCTGTCTGGAATGTTTGTAGAATATAACGAGAATATTTGTGAACAAATCAGACGGTCGAGCAGAAACTTTGTCAAAAATGTGATTTTTAACAGCAGCCGTATTAGACTTTTTTGTACTTTTTTCCATTTTCAAGGACTAAAAATAAAAAAATTATCCTCTCCTGAAGTCATTTAATCATTTCCGTCTGATATAAACTATTTTGTCTGTTTCCACCAAAAATCACGACTGTGGTGGTTTGATTTCTGAAGAAAACTTTCAAATGGTGAAATTGTCAAAACTCATCAAAAGTATTTTATAAAACTCCCAAATAACAAATAAATGAACTTGTATGCATCTGAATGGATTCATACGTTCCTCTAATGTTCCCATTTACTTTCTTGCAGCTCGTTTTAACGTCTGAAATGACTCAGACTCTCTAAACCTCCGTCTCCTGCTGTTCCTTGTTGTCATGAAGCAGCAGCATCGCGGTTATAATCCGTTATTCTCCGAGCTTTGTTTTCGTCGTGACCTTTTCGCGGTCGATTTTCTCACTTTCTCCTCAGTCGTCTTCACGTCTGTCTCCGCTGATTGAACCGACCTTCCTCGTGCTCCGTTATTTTAACAGCGTTGAGATTTATGGCCTCAGACGTGTCACCTGAAGACTTCTGTTGTGCTCCTTAAATGTCCAAATTCAGAAGTAAAAAGAGACAAAGTGGGACGTTTTTATCTCATAACAACACGTTTATTGAGGCGTAAAACCAGGAGTTCATGGACACAAACCGGGTTATAGACGGGATTCTCTACGCTGCAGCCATGACAGAGTTTCTCTTCAAACAGTCGGGGCTGAAAAACATCACGGTTTAAAGGAATGATCTGCTTCATACGCAACTACTGTGCTCCGATTCTTTCAAGTCTTAAGAGTCCTGCAGGCTGGACTCTGGACACGAACTTTCTTCTACTTTACATCCAATTCGTCTTCAGAAAATCAGCTCAAACTTTTTTTTTTAATAGATGTAAGACATAAATATTTGTGATTATTTCCAGAAGTCCTGAAAAGCAGATGACTCAGTGACCCAAACGTCTACAACCTGAACTACGCATGTTGTTTCTCGTTTACCTTCTGTTTTTGTGGCACAATCTCTAAACCCTTTGACTTCTGGATAAAAAGTGTTTCTCATCATAAATCCTGGCAGCTTTGGGAACCTTTGATCGCATCCTTGTGCACATCCTTTATTCTGACTGCAGTCCTTTTTGTTGACGAGGTTCTGCTTTGTTTGCTTTGTTTTCTACCTCGTTTGTTTGACTGTCGGCAGGATTACGCAAAAAAAAAAAAGAAAACTACGATTGTGACGGTAATTAAACTTGGTGCAGAGATGCAGCACAAACAAAAGGAAGAACCGAGTTGTTTTGGGTGCAGATGCAACATAAACATCCAGATGTTTATGACGGATCACACGAGACACTTCAGTGAAAGTCTAAAAACAACGACAGAAACTCTCACTTCTGATGATTTAATCGGATGTTTTGCTCTTAAACCGTCCAACAGTGTGACCTTCATGTCGATCTTGACACCCCGAGACGTTCTTCATCCTGCGGGGGGGAAAAACTCGCCTCCTGGTCGAGCTTCACGGTGTTTAAATGATGCATTTAAACAACATATTGACCTTCAGAGTTAAACACACAGCTGGCGGCGAACATTCCTGAAACAACACAGTAAAAAAAGAAAATCTAAATAAAATCTTAAAAGGGGCTCCTGGACGTCACCGTTGGGTTTTATCATCCGTGTGTCCGTCAGTCTGAATGTGCGCTTAAGCCTCCAGTTTGTTTTTTGCGTTAACGAAGCTGACGGTTCTTCTACTGCGTCATCGGCTGCGTGGCGCCGAGCGAGTTCACGAAGTCGTCGAAATGCCGCGGGTGGCAGCGCTTGTACTCGTTGATCTTCCTCTTGATCTGCTTGGGCGTGTCCTGGTAGTAGTTCTTCTCGTCTCTGGCCATCGCCTGCAGGGAGACACAAAGTAAAGGAATATTCCACTGTACACACCACGGTGGTAAAACACGCTGATTCGATGAGTCGTGTCACCTCTGAAGCCGTTGTTTCGCTTCGTCTGCACCGACACAAGCGTCAGCAAAGAAAAAAACTCTACATAAACATTAAAAAGAATTCGATTCCGAACTGGGATCAGATGTGATTAAATAAAGACGACTCGTAGTAAAAACATAAATGAACCCTCCGAACTCGACTCCACACGGATGCTTCACCATCAGCTGGATGCATCGTCCAACAACCTGCTCCTCTGTTCACAGTTTCTGAGCCGTGCTGCCTTTATTTACTGATCCACTTTGTTTCATTATCCTCCTCTCTTCACATTTTAAAGAATTTGAGAGTCATTTTTAAAAACATTTACATTGTTATGGGCAGACTTCTAGACATTTAGATGATTATTGATTCATCTTTTATGCGTTTGTGTCATTTTAGACACATTCTGACCATAGACTGTATAAAGGATGGACGTAGCTACCGTGACGTCACCCGTTGGTTTCTGCACTGAGAACATGAAGCCAGGGTTTTGCTACTTCCTGGTTGACATCTTGGATTTTTGGAGCCAGTGACACAAAAATCGTGGGAGGGGGCGGAGCCATAGGAGCAGCGATTGGTCAGACGGATTGAGAGGCAGGCCCTCTCTGCCCGCCCACATTTACCGCCTTCTGCTCGCTTCGTCTGCATTTGCTGCCGACTGTCAATCAAGCCAGCCACGCCCCTTGCCCCGCAAAATGTTGACGGTTTTTTAAAAATTCAGAATTGATTTTTTTTCAGATTGGCCACCTGATCTCTGGACTTGACATGAAAACTAATAAGAAAAAAATCCTGAGCTGTAGGAATGCAGTATTTCATGATCTGTGATCACTTCTTTTCCAATTCCAGTCTATGGGAGCCAGGGCTTTTTGGAGCCAGGACTAGTGGACGTAGTGATATTGCAGGTTTTTGACACTTCCAGGTTGGCTTCATTTTTCAGGGTCGGTTGCTACGTACATCTTTTATCGTTTATGATTCTGAGTAATTTTAGGAGAGTTTATGTCGTTTGGAACAAGTTTAACATTTTGGGTCGATTTTTAGTCATTTTGACCATTTTTTCAATAATTTTGGAGAAACTGTTTCAGAGGAGTTTATGTCATTCTGGATGAATTCTAAGTCTCTTGTCTATTTTCCAGCCTCTCCACACGTGTCCTCTCCACTCTGCTCATCAGCTGTATACAGATGTTTCACCGTGCTGGATGTATCTTCAACAACTTGTTTTTAAGCCACGCTTCATTCATTCTACTGATCCAGTAGGTTGGATTTTCCTCTCAGACGATTTAAAATTGTCCAAAATGTTTTTAAAACTTGTCTAAAATAACTCGAACCTTGTCCAAAGTAACATTAAATTGTCCAAAATGACTCAAAAATACCCCAAAATAACTTGAAATGAGTTTAAAAATCTTTGAGTCACTAATAATGACCTGACTAATTTCAGGCCAGTGTTTAGTCATTTTGGACCATTTCTAGTCCAGTTCTGAATCTCTGCCTCTGCTTTCTCAGCCTAAAATTGTGCAAAATGACTTGAGACGTCCAAAGTAACATTAAATTGTTCAAAAACGAGTCAAAAATGGTCCAAAACAACTGGAAAACTTTCCAATATGACCTAAAACCAGTTTCAAATGACTCAAAATTCATTTCCCACCCCCTCAAGGATCTTGTTAACAGTTTATTTCTTTAATATATTTTTAAATTCAACCTGTTGAATAAAGTGCGACTTTGATAGAAAAACACAATCTGGTTCATTTTCTCCACAAAACTTCACGACAGATTTTCTTTTTAATAGAATGAAGTTTAATTTAAGATATTTTTTTTTTAATGAAACGTAGAATGAAGTGATTTTGATGGGGGGAAAAAAATCAATTTTATGCCAAGATTTTTTTTTTTCTCAGTGGAACCGCACAGCCCACACGATTAGTTCAAGGACCGTGGGAAAATTAGAAACTCATAGATTTTTTCTGTTTTTACACTTTCTGTCTCTGATGAATGGAGTCACTTTGCAGATTTTTTTTTGTTTTTTAACGATATCCTGCCTTAAACTCTTTGGTGTGAATCCAGATGCTGCAGCTCGCTTAATAACACGAAACATGAAAGCATTTGTTATGTAGAACATTTCCTCATCTCTTGTCTTGAAACGTGACTTTACAATCAGCTGTTGTGCCTTTTTACTGTTCAAGTTTGACTTGATGAAACTCCAGAAAGCCCCCCGACTTGTGCTGAAAGCTCCGAGCGATTCTTCACATTTAAAGGTCACCAGTAAAAACCCGTTTCGTTCTATTTGCATATCCGCTGCCCTCGGAAACACATTTTTCTCTTCAGAGGTAGAAGTCCAGGGTATTTTATTGTAGAAGAAGATCAAAGTCACAGTTTGCTTTGTGTTACTGACAGACTCTGATTTGGTAAAACTCCCAGAAACGAGTCTTTTTAAAGCGAATGCGTCTGAATGAAGCCGTTTTCTGATATTTAACATGAAACCAGTGATGATTAGGTTATGATCAGGCTTCAGATTGGGTGTAAACGGTGAATGTAGACACACGTCAGCACTTCTATGCTTCAGTAACTACCTCTCTAACTACACATATGTTCTTATTTTCCTGGCACAGAGCACATTTGTGAGCTTCAGGTCTCACCTTGTAGTCGTCTTTGTGCTCCCGGATCATGTGCTGGACGAACTCGATCAGGTCCGAGGACAGGGTCTTGGTGTCTTTCTCCGGCAGACTCGCCTCCTCCTGCAGATCTGAAAGCACACGAGCAACCCAACCAATCACATCTCAGTAGCAGGAGACGATGAAAAGCTTAAATATGCAGAAGCTGCTCGGCGTCGCGACAAAAACAAGCCGAAAACTCTGCTTTCATTCAAAACGCTCTAATTAGGCTGCGATCAAACTGTGAGTACGATGAAAAGATGGTCGGCCGTGGAGGGAAACATCCTTCACGGGAACAATGAGACGAGTTGTGACTGAAAAACACGTCGGCATTCAGAGCCGAGGAGCTGAAAACAACTCATCTGGAGGCTTTTTTTTCTTTTTTAAAGTTAATTTTGACTCAATTTCTTCACAAAGTGCTGAAAACAAAGCCGACATTTTTAGTCTGAGGCGGTTTTCTGGGAGCTCAGAGGCTCAAAACAGAAACAAAATGATCCCATTAACTCACTACAGACTCACAAGAAACAGCATCTTTACATGAATCACTTTAATGGTTCTGATCTGACAGAAAGGAAACAGAAATCCTCCACATGAGGCGTTTTTAACTCGGCTGCTTTCTATCCTTTAAAGAGCACAAGTTCTGCTTTTTGGCTCCTTCAGAGTTTTTCTTTTGTGCGTATAAAAGCTCTGCAAACGTATTATTCAGCGTCTCAACCTCGTCTATTTAAAGTGATTTTTCAGGCAAAACTGTTCCTGACCAGCAGTGACTTTTCTGCTTTAATATAACATTTAAATAAAAACATAAAATACAACATAAAGTCCTGCAGCTCTGATAAAACGACCACGACTAGAAGGACAAAGAACCTCAAAACGTCGTCTTTGCTGGAAAAAGGAAAAAAATAAAGTTGAATTTCTTTGATTATTTATTCACCGAAAATAAAAAAATACACCTGGAATCAACATTTATTCCAAGTGAAGCTACCAAGACTAGAAACAAACTCTACATACTTTAGACATTTTACTGTTTAGAGTTTTTATTTCTTTCTACACTCGTCTCCTCCGTCCTCTGTGGAAACGCTGCCTGCAGTTCAACCAACAACAACAACAACAACAACAACAACAACAACAACTACTCTCTGAATTTTTGTCACGTGATTGTTGGTCACAACCGAGTCGTTTGTAGATTCTAAGTTGCGCAGAAAAGCTCCGAATTTTTTGTTTTTAGCAGAAACCGATTAAAGTAAACTGTTTATTTTTTTTTCTATTTTTTGTTTTTTTGTAGAATAAAGTGACTTTGATGAAATGTTGAACTCAATGTTGGTTTGTTTCTCTTAAAAAAAACAAACAAAAAAAAAAAACAATGACATGACAGGATTTTAGTTTTAGATAATGAGGAGTATTTTGGGATTTTTAAAAAATGTTATTTATTTATTTTACATAAAACAAGTAAAATAAAAATGATTTTGATAAAGAAAGAAAAAAGTCTGTGGTCTATTTTTTGGCACAATTCCCAAGATGAGTTCAAGGACAGTTGGGAAGATGAAAACCTGATGATTTTTTTCTGTTTTTACAGTTTCTGTCTCTGATAATTTGGTCACAGCCGAGTCAGTCGTGGATCCTCAGCTGCACAGAGAAGCTAAAAATGTTTCGTTTTTTACAGAATCTGGTTAAACAGTTGATTTTTTTTTTTGTTAATTATGAAATGAGACGTAGAATAAAGTCGTTTTGCACACGTGTGATTCATTTTCCCACAAGAACTGCACACGATTAGTTCAAGGACAGTTGGAAAGTTGAAAACCTGATGTTTTTTTTTTCCTGTTTTTAGTTTCTGTCTCTGGTAAATTTTGCAATTTTGGTGAATTTGAAAATGAGTCCGTCGTGGTCGTGCTGGAAAAACGCAGAATTTTTTGGTTTTAACAGATTCTGTTTGGAGCAAATTGTGCATTTTTGGTGATTTTTTGAAACGAGACGTGCAGAATAAAGTGATTCTGATTAAACACCACTATGTCCAAATGACAGAGTTTTAGTTTTTTGTAACAGAACGTATTATTGGAAAACCTTTTACATAAGTGGAGCAGAATCAGCAGATTTGGAAGGAAAATCACAATTTTATGGTTCAGATTTGGTTTATTTCCCACAAGAGCTGCAGATTATACAAGAATTAGTTTAAAGACTGTTGGAAAGTTGAAAACCAGATGATTTTTTTTTGCAGAGTTCTTTTGTCTGAACAGAATCTCATCAAAGCAAACGGTTTGTTTTTAATGAAATATCTTGAATTCCAGCTCGAATTGGGTTAACTTTCCTCACAAGAACTGCAAATCACAAACGAGCAGTCAAAGGACTTTTTACAGAGGCGACAAAGCAACAGTTTGTTCTGTTTTTATGGCCTCTTGCTCCAATAAATGGCGCAATTCTAAAGTCCCGGTCACAGCTGAGTCGGTCGTGGTTGTGCTGAAAAGAACAGATTTGTTTTTGGATTTAACTGAATATTGTTGAAGTAAATCGAGTATTTTTGGTGAATTTGTAAATAAAACATGTGGAATAAAGTGGATTTGAGTGAAACATCTTGATCTGTAGCTCGGATTTGGTTCATTTTTCTCACAAAACTTCTGCAAAGTCGATGAACCAACGTTTTGTTCAGTTTCTAGTTCTGATTAAAGGTGTCATGTTTAAAAGAGAACAAGTCTTTAAAACCTGTTTAAAGCTGCAAACACATTATTGCAGAGCCTTAAAATGAAAAAGATAAACCTGGAAATGTGCAGAATCAGAGGATTAAAGAAGCTGCTGACAGAAATGAGACACACACTGAGAGGTGGACGGCTTCAGACTCACGGTGGAGGATGTAGGGTTTGGTGACGACGCCGGCGGCTCTGGATTCTGCGCCTTCACCGAGGAGCTGCACGTGTGAACAGAAACACATTGTGAAGACGGCAGCGGGTCAATCGATTGGGTCGACAATCAGATCATCTGTCTTTGAGAGTCAACAGCATGAAACGAGAAACAAGCTGCAGCCCAGAGGATGACTTTACTGTGACTAATGAAGCACGAGTGATGAATTCAGCTCTGGAGACACGAGCAGGTAAAAAAAAAAAAATCATCAGAGGCTTTAAGTTGTCTTTTTTTAGGAGTTTTTCTGAGATATTTCTAGAAAAATGTCATCTTCAAGAGTCAGAAACTGCTCTCATCAGCGCTCTGTCGCTCCCTTGTGGCACAAAACTGAACTGCAGCGAGTGTTTTTTAACCTCCGACCTGTTGGACACGATCAATATCTGCAGTTTGTTTAACAAATAAGCTTTAAACAGTTGAGGTAAATCTAAAGACATACCTGCAGATATTACATTCAGCACAGAAACACGTCTCTAGAAATCTAATTCTACCTGGATTTTAAAAAATACAACGTTTTTGTACATATTTAACTCATTTTAAGTCACTCAGGTGTGTTTACTTGCTTCATCACTGCAGGTAGGAGTCTGTAGTAGAAAGATAAACAAACGCTCCTTGTGCTCTACAAACCATGTGGAGCATCACGGTTTGATAAAATGTGCTTCTATTTATAGTTTTTTCTTGCAAGGAAACAACAGTTTTGTTTGTAAAGATGGTGAATCTGGTTACGGATACTGAAGAAAACTGAACTTGAGGGCCAAGAACGCCCCAAATCACACAACGTTTAGGGAACAAAAAGGTGCAAATGTACCAAAACTACACGACAACCGTGTTTACAGACATCGATAAGGAGTTCATCGCTGTGTGTGTTTTCTGGCTGAGTAGGAAACTCTGACAGAAAGACTTTATTAAGGCAGAATTCAAAAAGAAAGTTGCTCAGATGTTGTTTACTTCTAACATGAAGAAAACACAGAAGCATATATGTATAATACCAACTCCTAGAACCTCTGAACACCCGGTTTTGTTTCCCACCAACGAGTCCACATCAACATTTTCTCAAAATATCTACAAACTGGAACCTCGTCTTGCCACACATCAGATGATGTTAGAGCCTCAGACGTTGGTGAAATGTCGACCAAAGACTCAACTTTTAGCAGGAAATATGGATCCATCCATATATTTACACTTAGAGGAACGTTCTGGGGCTCTAACACCAGCACTGTTTGAAAGATTTGCACTTTTCCCCCCATTTTTAAGGACCAGTATCTAAAAATGTAGCTCCTGCTGAAGCCGTTGAATCCTATGAGTCTACATCAGACGTCACGGCTGTGCGAGTTCTATCTGTAGAGATATGATATGGAACCTTTAAAGTGTCTTTTCTGAGGGTCAATTTGTATTTTCACGATAAATAACAACACCTGGAGTGAAAGGAGACTTGATTTGGTTGCAGTTTGTAACAAACGTGGTTTTCAGCCCTGATAACATCACGTGTTCCATCTGTTGTACTTGTGAAGGTCTGAGGGTTAAAAATGATTAAACGACCACGTTATGTCCAAACCTGCAGCAGTAACTCACCCCCTGTTTCTTCACGGGCAGCGCTCGATTGGGATCAAAGGCCAAACCCATCTCCTGCAGGTTCCTGGCCATCGACTTGTTGTCGTCCCAAGCATTTCGAATCTGTGGACTGAGAGTGAGGACGAGTCAGAGACACGACAGCATCACGAAACCAGTCCGTCAAACATGTGACCAAAACAAAGAGCTGTATATATAAATCCATGTAATACAGCATAAACATCTAAAGCTTCACTCAATATAAAAAATGGTTTGATATTTTTATGTCTTAACTAAAATCCTGTTTGTTTGTCCACAATAAACAAAGTATACATACAGAACATATTTATATCATGTTGATACATGAGTCCATCACTAGCGTTGTGCAAAAACTCTTTAAATCTCTGCATGTAATGTTTTAAACACTGAAATATGGCGTTATAATCTTCAGGAAGGACTCAGCAACAATCTGGGCTTCATTTTGTTTTAGTTTCAGAGTTAAACTGCAGTTTTACTCCTTAAAGCTTCTTGTTTCCACCTGAGACATTATTTAAAAGGATTAAAATGCTTTTGAGGTGTGAAATTACAAGATCATGTTCCC